GTCATCAAACAGTATCCTTAAAACAAATGACCGATTTTTTTTCAATGATGATAAGACTGTTTTGTGTTTAGGAATAAGATATAGACGTTTTATGTTTGCCTAGGTTCTTAACTAAGTTACATGTGTTTGGTAAGCGGATTACACATTTGTTATTGACTTTTTCTTAACTAATTAATTACAAAATCATTTATGATGCTCACCTCTTTGTATTATACCCATAATTCCATTGTGACAGAATTCTACCAGACCAGTCTTCTGTATGTTAGGGAGACATATATACTGATCATTACCATACTTGTCACGACCACATCCAAGTCTTGTAGATGCATTTAAAGCTTCTGTGAGGTTTTGAGGACAAGAGTCGACAATACCATCCATAGTTACACAAGAAATGAAGTCTATAAAACCTATGTATAATTAAATATTATTGTAAACTATGCAAAAGTAGCATAACATAAAAATAAAAAAAAAATAATAAAAATAATATCGATGATAAGATGGAATTCCTCGTTTAAACAAAACTTCCTGCCCCAATGCCTCATAACAGACAACAAATAAGCAAAATTTAAAAATTTCATGCATGCTAACATTTTCATAAATTCCTTTGACGAAGTATTTCTGTTTGACAACATCTTCCAAATGATACCGTGATTAAAAAAAGGACAATTAATTTATTAGGTACAAAATATGATCGTTATACATACAATACCTTAATCATGTTGTTTCCAAATTAAATTTTGTATTCTAAATTATTTTAACTGAGATTAAATGATTAAACAAATGCGTGGCGATGAGGAATAATTAGCTTTCATGTTTGTATCTTGAGAACTGTCAGTTGTGGACTACAGCTTAACAGAACATATGTGAGAAAGAAGTAGGAAGCTTGAAGGTTGATATCAGGCTCATACAAAAACAACTTTAAGTAGTATATTAACTTTTCAAATAAATATCGGTGAAATTTAATATATTTCTAATATTTTTTTTATATATTTGAGGACTTTAATCATTATTTTTTTCTGAACCTATAATGTTTAATCTAAGTATAACACATATATGTCTAAAAACGTCCTTAATATTATCTAGAGAAAGGCATGTATTATAAAAGCGTGATTTGGTTGAGTTCTAAATGAATGACCTCTAATTTTTTTTTAACTTAAACTACCCAGCCATAATATATTTTTCACTGAATATATCATTATATTGCACATGCATTATAGTTAAAATTACTAATATAGAATTTTTGTTTGAAAGTGAAACTTTATTTTTTAAAAAGAATTACATCCTAAAAGACTTTGTGCACTGCATAATCCAAAAAAAATTAAATAGTGTGTGATGCGTCAAAATAGTATCTTGAGTATCAATAAATAGATGTAAATATTAACCAGTTTTTTTCTCTTTTTCATTTGTAAAATATGGCTTTTGATTGTTATTTTACTGCAGTAAAAATTTAAAACATATAAAACAAACAAAAAAAAAAATCATAAAATGTTGGCAATATCAAGTGGTACAAGTAACAAATTTGGCAATATCTATAGTCCAACACTTCATATTAAACAAATATAAGATTTTAATCTTATATTATCTCATGAATTATTCCCTAGTTGTTTATGTACAAAAGAAAGAGAGCTGTTTAAAATACATATTTAGAAAGTAGAATAGATTATACATATTTTTTCATTCAAGGGAACAAAAAATTTCCTATTCATCAATTATTTCATTTTCTTATTTATTGAGCAGTTATTCTATGATATTTGTTGTATTCCTGAACAAGTGCATGCAAGGCTTTAAAGCAGAATCATAGAGTAAAACGTTTACATCAGAACGCTCTGCTGTCTCAATAAAGTTAAAATGGGGTAATTTAACTTGATAACAGTTTAATGTTTTTATTTTTTAAATACATAAAAAACAAAATTAAAGTTAAAAACACATCTGAATTGATGAAGTTGAAAAAGAAAAATAGTTTGATGATAATGTCATTTATTAGGTATTCTAGATATATATTATTATTATAATCAATAATTAAAGAATACGTTATAGCATGAATATGTCTTGTTATCATCTTATATATTTAATCCTTATAAAAATGTGTTTAAATCTGGCCAGAGAACTTTAATTTTATTAATCAAGGATCTGTCTGTTTCAGACATTAGTAAAAATGTTCAATGTGTCTTTATTTACCAAAATAAGATTCAGAGGATCTTATACTGAGGAGAAAACATCATATTTTGAAATTAGATTTATTTATTGATTTATTATGTACAGATACTTGACTCTCATTAATACATGATGTTTTTGCTTATTAATCAACAATATTGAAACTTTATTCCAGAAAATTCAGATCAGAGAATAGAAAAGGCACGTCAAATACTATTGTATTGTCAGTCTGTTTCCAGTGATTTGTGCAGAATAAACGCATTAAATGAACACAACCGGTAAAAAGTAAATGTTAACAATTTGATAGAGTTCGTGCCTATGTTCACAAACACAAATATTTAACGTGACGTATAATCATGAATGTCCTTGTTATTAAAGTTTCTGTATTTGCTTGTTACTTTAACATATTTCACTGAAATTATTTTTTTATTTAAAATTGTAAATAAAACAGCAATGCTACTTTGTCTATATATTTATTTTTTTCGTGAGATAAACATGATTTTAATCTTTATACATGTTATATTTAGTCCGCAATCAAATTTTCCTCATATCGTGATAAGACATTATATACATTTCTGAAAAAGTAAGCAACGCTTCATAGACTTCAAACTATTTTCGATTTTAATCTAATGCTATTATAGTTGATGAAAATCAAAGCAAAACAAAAAATGATATTTGAACATGTTGAAGCAGAGGGATAAACTTTCATCAAAATCGTCGACCATGTACGGCAAAGAAGTTTAATTGGTTATTTCACCTTAAAACGAAACTAGATTTTTTTTATGATCGTAAAAATGTCATTATTTCATATAAAAATAATTCAGATCCGTTTAATATTTTACCTCTTGTAATATTCTCTCTACATCTCTGAAATCAGGTCCTTTAGTTAACCGTCATCTGAGAGATAATTAATGCTTCCTATACCTTCTATGGCGTCCCTCGAAGACCTTCACTTTTTCTTTAAATACCCCACGTATCTGTATATAGTGCACATGTATTTAAATGGTTTTTAAATTCTTTTTATCATGTGGATCCAAAAATAGAAGATCCGATAAAACTGTGCTTTTATTCTCATTTGCTGAATATATATATGAAATTTCATTATTTTCCCTACATACATGCATGTAAATGTATAATGTGATTAACTTAATGGATGAACTTTAAGAAATGTACAATCACAGGCATGCACTTGCTTCGGAAATAAATTTTTGAACCATAGTATAATAATAGGATTACACTATGTCAGGGTTAAAAATCTTTTCCCTAGATAAGTACCTGTAAATAGTTCAATACTATAGGTCAATCATATGTTACTTAATGAAAGCTGAGTCAGAAACATTTTTGTGAGCATTTTCAATGAATTAATGTTTAGTTATTTTTAAAATCTTCCCATTTTGATGTAAAAATATTATTGTTAACAATGGAATTAACCTGAGAACAATATTCCCATGGGCCTCATCGCACATGAGCACACTGGCTTGGAAATAAATCAGAAATCACTTCATTATTGAGAAGTTTACATGGGGGGGGGGGCTGGAATTTTAAACAACCAACTACCTGATGATAAATCCAATAAATTGAACATTTTCATTTGCAGGATTATACCAACAGGCAATCAATAAGCAAGTCCTTAAATGAATTCATGCTGACTGGAAAAGTTTTTAAAATGTGGATTGTGTGATTCCGCATACAAGGAATTCGATGAATTGAGGGAACATTTTAGGACCAATCACAACCAAATATGTCTTGTTTGTGGAAAACCTGTACCCATGTTGACAGACATGCAAACTCACTTAACTACTGTCAACCAAAGCAACAAGGACCTGTTTATGCAAATTGTCAAATATGTTCAAAGCTAGTAAGAAATAAGTCACTGGGCGTACACTATAGGGTCCATGGACTGAGATCCTAGGACTTAATATTTATATGTAAAACATGCGGTAAGGATTTTACATTTTGGGACAGAAACATTAATTGCATGCACTTAGATGGGCAACCTTCCACCAGCAGAAAAATGATTTTATTTTGCATTTTATGTAAAAAGGAGTTTGAGGAATTGCAACCATTTAAAGAACACTTGAAAGAAGTTCACAGAATATCCGGACCAGAAATGTTCCCGTGCAATATATGTTCAAAGATTTATAGCCGTCAGTTTTATTTACAGAAGCACCTGGAGAATCATGAAAAAAGAAAGCAGCGCGTGCTTGAACGAGCAAAAATACGTAAGATGGAATCGAAAAAGTTTAGCGAATATCAAAAGCGTCTGAAGGCTTTAAAGAAACAGAATAAAAGCAAGCTTAGGAGATGTACTGTGTGTAAGAAATTGGTCATTCAAGCAGGAAATACAGGTGAAAAGAACGTAACACAGGGCAAGATTTATGAGCCTAATGAGTGCTTGTCAATGCAAGCAAAGAAAGTTTTAGATCACAAAGAAATTGTGAAGCTCCAAAGCAAGGAAAATGGGGAGAAAAAGAGTGTCAGTTTTATGTGCACAAATTGTGAAGAGCGCGCTAAGCTTAAATTAACTCTGTTGAAATGTAGGATGGCCCAGAAAGTCTACAGATGTCAGATTTGTTCGCAGACATTCATTAAGTTAATTCACTTGACATCACATATGAATAGTCATGTGTCTAGCACAAAAAAAATCTCCATTATCTGCAGGAAGACATTTAGTCAAAAATGAAATCTTAGGCTCCACATAAAGGGTCATGCAGACACGAACGGCTTTTCTTGTAAGTTTTGTAGTAAAAAGTTCACTTATTGTCATCAGCTTGATATTCAGTCAATTACATTACAACCCAGAACTTCATTGTTATGGTTGTCACCTGGACTTTGATAAACATTACCGATTTGTTCTCCACAAGAAAAAAGATCCCATAATGCATAAACGGAAATCCTATTCAAAGAAAAAAACTCTGCATGCTATGAATCCTGGGAATCTATCAGAATCTTTTAAGTGTGCCGTCTGCGGGAAGAAATTTAGGGACAAAAAATGGTTGGACCATCATCAAACAACATTTCAGGACTTGAAGCACAAGAGATTTTGCTTTGTGTGTGGAATAATGTTTAAACTACCAACAACGTTGAGAAAGCACATGAAAACTCACACAAAGGCGCCAGAAAAATCGAGAAGGTCTTTCCTTTGCCACATCTGTGGTAAGCTTTTCAAACAAAGTTCAAATATGTGGGGCCATATAAGAGCCCACACTGTGAAAGAAATTAAAAACTCGGGGACACTAACGCACCCCCCTGACAGGAGTTCTGTGCACGAGTGTGGTCTGTGTGTCAGGGTGTTCTCTAAGAAAAGTTACATGCTGATACACAGGAAGGTACACGAGAGGCCCGACACTCAAAAATGTCAAGTCTGCAATGGAGTGTTTGGTAGTCTGGGTGCCCTGAACCGCCACAAGCGTAATGTACATCAGATGTACATCAACATATAAGCAGATGGAATTGAAGTGATTGAAGTCTTGCAAAGGTGTAAAAATCAGATATGTACATACCATTATGTGAAAAAATGATTCTCAAAGGAAATAAAATGTATATGAAAAGTAATTTTATTTGTAGGTGTACAAAACTTGTTCTGTGTCTTAAAGTAATACATTTTTTTAAACTTGATTTTTTTATTTTCAACTTTGCTTTTCTTAAATCAAACTTACAATCTTGCAGATTCCTGTAGATGCTAAATGAGTACAAACACTGTATATTGTCCCCCGCTTTCGCGAAAGCGAGGGGACATTAAATCTCATTCGTCTGTCCGTCAGTCTGTCAGTCTGTCCGTCTGTCCGTCCGTCACAAAAACTTTAACCTTGCCCATAACTTTTGATTTAGTGGAGCTATTACTTTTATATTTCACAGGTGTATTCCTTGTGACAAGACCTTTCTTTGGGTACCACCAAATTTGACCTTTTGACCTTGACCTTGGAGTTTGACCCACTTTTAAACAAAAATTCCAAACTTTTACTTTGGAGATAACTTTTGAATAGTAGATACTAGGACTTTCATATTTCACATATGCATTGTTTGTGGCAAGACCTTCCATTGATAACAACAACCTTGACCTTTTGACCTTGACCTTGGAGATTTACGTACTTATGAAAAAACTTTAACCTTGACCATAACTTTTAAACAGTAAAAGCTAGGGCTTTCGTACTTCACATATGTAATCCTTGTGAAAAAACCTTTCATTGGATACCAACAACTTTTACCCTTTGACCTTGACCTTGGAGTTTTAACTACTTTTTAAAAACTTTAACCTTGGTCACAACCTTTAAACAGTAGATACTAGAACTTTTATGTTTCACATATGTATTCCTTGTCGCAAGACATTTCATTGGATACCAACAACCTTGACCTTTTGACCTTGACCTTGGAAATTAACGTACTTATGAAAAAAACTTTAACCTTGATCATAACTTTTGAACGGTAAGGGCTAGGTCTTTCGTACTTCACATATGTAATCCTTTTGAGAAAACCTTTTTATTGGATACCAACAACTTTACCCTTTGACCTTGACATTGGAGTTTTAACTACTTTTTTAAAAAACTTTAACTTTGGTCACAACTTTTGAACGGTAGATACTAGGACTTATTTTTAACATATGTAATCTTTGTGGCAAGTCCTTTCATTAGATATCAACAACTTTGATCTTTTGACCTTGAACTTAAAGATTTACGTACTTACGAAAAAAAAATTAACCTTGACCATAACTTTTGAACAGTATAAGCTAGGGCTTTCATACTTCACATATATAATCCTTTTGAGAAAACTTTTCATTGGATATCAACAACTTTGACCCTTTGATCTTGACCTTGGAGTTGACCTACTTTGAAAAAAATTCTACTTTGGTCACAACTTTTTAACGGTCAGGATTAGGGTTTTCATCCTTAAACAAAAATCAACTTCAATGTTACTTTCTAAATAAATGACATATGATAGTATATGTTCATATTACAGACAATATGTCATAAAAATATTTAACATCTCACCCACAAAGATACCGAAAGCGGGGGACCACAATTCTTTGAATTTGCTTGTTATTTATCTAGGTTACACAAATGTCAACATATTGTTCACTGTTCTTTAGTAAAATTATCTCAAGTGTAACTTGTTTTGTTGGAGGTATATCCTTGTATCTTTTACAATACAATATACATGATTTGAACCATTGAAAGCTTTTGTTAGAACTCTTAAAATTTATTGAAAGGTCAAGATGGTTAGGGCCCCGCAAGGATTTGCGGGTGCCCTATAGTAATCACTCTGTCCGTCCGTCTGTCCGTCTCTGTCTAGCTGTCTGTCTGTCCGTCTGTCACTCTTCCGTCCACAAATTTTCTGTTTTTTGTCCCCCGCTTTCGCGAAAGCGAGGGGACATTAAATCTCATTCGTCTGTCCGTCTGTCAGTCTGTCCGTCTGTCAGTCTGTCCGTCACAAAAACTTTAACCTTGCCCATAACTTTTGATTTAGTGGAGCTATGACTTTCATATTTCACATGTGTATTCCTTGTGACAAGACCTTTCTTTGGGTACCACCAAATTTGACCTTTTGACCTTGACCTTGGTGTTTGACCCACTTTTACACAAAAATTTCAAACTTTTACTTTGGCCATAACTTTTGAATAGTAGGTACTAGGACTTTCATATTTCACATATGTATTGTTTTTGGCAAGACCTTTCATTGGATAACAACAACCTTGACCTTTTGACCTTGACCTTGGAGATTTACTTACTTATGAAAAAACTTTAACCTTGACCATAACTTTTGAACTGTGAGAACTAAGGCTTTCGTACTTCACATATGTAATCCTTGTGAGAAGACCTTTCATTGGATACCAATAAATTTTACCCTTTGACCTTGACCTTGGAGTTTTAAATAATTTTTAAAAACTTTAACCTTGGTCACAACTTTTAAACAGTAGATACTAGGACTTTTATATATTTCACATATGTATTCCTTGTGGCAAGACATTTCATTGGATACCAACAACCTTGACCTTTTGACCTTGACCTTTGAGATTTACGTCCTTTTAAAAAGACTTTAACCTTGACCATAACTTTTGAACAGTAAGGGCTAGGGCTTTCAAACTTCACATATAATCCTTGTGAGAAAACCTTTCATTGGATATTAGCAACTTTGACCATTTGATCTTGACCTTGAAGTTGACCTACTTTTAAAAAACTTTTTACTTTGCCCATAACTTTTTAACGGTCAGGATTAGGGATTCATCCTTTTAAAAAAAGTGAACTTCAATGTTACTTTTTAAATAAATGACATATGATAGGATGTTCATATTACACACAATATGTCATAAAAACCCACAAAAACACCACAATTCTTTGAATTTGCTTGTTTCTAATAACTTTTTTTATGGTTGCCCAATCAAGTTCAAATTTGGTATGGTAGTTCAGTAGGCAGAAATACATATTTTTATGCTAAGTTTAGTTCTCTATGTCTTCTGGTTTGGAGCTGGGGTGGTGGAGTAGATTCCTTTACTATGCATAAGAATGAACAGGCAACTTTTTTTATGGTTGCCCAATCAAGTACAAATTTGGTACGGTAGTTCAGTAGGCAGAAATACATATTTTGATGCTAAGTTTGGTTCTCTATGTCCCATTGTTTAGAGCTGGGGTGGTGGGGTAGATTCCTTAACTTTATATAAGAATGCATTGGCAAAGAGAGATAACTGCTGAAGATGTTCCCATTGTAAACTGAATGCTGCTAGGAGTCCCTTGGGATTAATTAGCTTTCCTCCTGAAGAAAATCCAGAGCTTTATCTTTATCTGTCACATTGAGATAAATTACCACCTCTGTCTGCAAATGAAGTTTGTTTTGAAGTTAAATCAATTTGGAATGATATGAACACGCTGAAATGTGGATTTAAATATAAATTTTTATTATTTATTTTTGTTTGATAGTTATGATTTCATTGAATTCTAAAAAAAAGAAATAGATTAAAGAAGATTTTTTGATTTATTTTTTTTTCACTTTTTTCACTTTTTTTTTATATATTAATTCAAGAATATTACTAATTTTTAATGTAGTTGTATAAAAACCCCATTCTATCATTAATACTGAAAAAGTTCTTATTGTAAATTTAGAAGAAAATGATGAGAGAGGTACAATTAATCCCTTGGGATTAATTATCTAACCTGCTGCAGAAAATTTAGTAGGCTTTTCTTTATCTGTCACTTTAAGATTAATGAAAACCTTTGTCTGCAACTGCTGTTTGTTAGAAGTTAAGGTCAAGCCCTCATGATATTTGCATTCATTGAAGGCTGGCATTTTATATAACACAAGCTTCATAATTGTTTAAATATACCGGTACATTCAATGTTAAGTTGTTATTTACTGCCTAATGTAAATACAAGGATATTATTTTCAGGTTTTTGAATATTCAGGAATTATCTTGAAATTTTAAGAATACAGTTGCTGTTGCTTATTCTTCGTACATTTATTAATCATTCTGTAAGCTGCACCCTTTTAATTCTACCCCATGGCGGGGCCCTTGCTGACTGGTCAGTTTTCTAGTTAGAGAAAAGTTTGGTGCACATTTTCAAAATTTAATGAAATTTGAGGTTTACATTTGAAGTTGTTGTCCTCCATTTTCACTGAAAGTGGGAAATATTAATTAAGCTCTGTCTGTATTTCTGTCTGTACTCTGTAATACTTTCCAAGAAGCTTTTGAGCTTTTGAAATAAAATGCTCTTTGCTGAAGGAAGTCCCGTCTTTATTTTGAGGTACAGAGGTCATGGTCATTAGAACAATTCCCAAATAAGCTTAGACTTTTATGAAGGCATGGCATATTTTGATGTTACATAATTAGCCTCTGAGATTTACACAGTTTTCCCTCACTGTTGAAATATACGTAGGATAAAAATTCAGGCGAATGTTAACTGGTGTGTCAAATAGCCAATTACAAGTTCTCGCACGGCACAGAAGTGGGGCTTAAGTCGTCTCATCTTTGTCAACAACATTTTAAAGTTTCTGATGTGATTTATTTTTTAAACCAATGAAAATCTGATCACTATTTGACAGACGCTAATTTAACGTTGCGCCTAGAATGACTTATTTTTCGACTTACTGAAAGTTTAAGCTTACATGAGAATTGTACTACTTCATACATTCTGTGTGTGTATGTGTAAAACTTTCATTTTTGGGTGATGCATGTATCTCAGGAAGCTTGTGAGTTTTTGCAATTTTTAAGTTTAACCATAACCCCCTATTGCCCTTCTTCCCCTCCTTAATGTGTACACCCTTGACCCCCCCCCCCTTTCAGCTCCTGACTTGTTCTTATTTTACTGAGGCAGGGACACAGATTCTCTTAATAAGCTTGTTACTACAGTGTACATGACATGTATAGCAAAGGGGAGTACAGGGCATCATATTTATCATAGGTCATGGATTAATATTTTGACTTCAACCTATTACTAGATCAAAGGTTAAAGTA